TACTCAAGATTAAAATCTTCTAGGCCAAAGCCACGCCTCTGCCCAGCTTTATATTTAAATAAATAACACACAAAGTAATACTCTCTTCAGATAAAGCCAGACAGGCGTTTTCATGTCAAAGAATTATTCTTTTAGATGGATAAATAAAACTGTTAAGTCTCTTTTTTAATTTCTTACCAGTGACAAAAATTTTCCCCTTCATTTGGTAAAGGTAAAATCATGCCGGTTAGGATACCAAAAAACCACTGTGGAGAATTTTAAGATGCAACAACAGAATACTTTATAGTCACTGCAAGCATGTGCAGCTACATGTATTTAAAAATGTATGGCCAGCCTGTTGTAGAAAGGATTCCAGATACATAGAATGGATACAGACAAAGTCATGGCACGACTTGCATGACTAATATAGAATAATTTTCCCACACACTGAGAAGAGCTCTGGGGAGGAGGACCACTGTGAGTCTGAGGTCAGCCTGGGTTACACAGTGAGTTAAAGGCCAGCCTGAACTACATGGTGAGACCCTGTCTCAAAAACACAAAATCAAACAAAAAGCAGAAGAGGAGGTAAACAGACCACATTAAAACATGCTTTGCTATCAATGTTCTTTTACAAAACAAAGGACATACATAGACACACCCAAAAAGAGTGGAAAGTAATCATCAATACCTTTATGCTGTTCTCTCTAGGTAAGAGCACAGATGATTCGAATTTTCTTTTTGAGTACTTCACACATTTTGGTACAATGAACGTGTGCTTGGCCTTTTTGGGCGATCACTTTATTACTGCTCACACGCAGTAAAATTCACACCTTGGACAGGACTGACTTCTGACAAGTCCCAGAGCTGCGGAACGGCCATCACACCAGATGCAGAATGGTGCCACCACTCCCTGAACTCCCACAGATGTGCTGGGGGGTCAACCCCACCTCCACACCCAGCCTGGGCACTCTCCTCTGCTCTGTGTCCTCAGGAGCTTGCCTCTTCCAGAATGTCATATAAATCAGACTGCACAGTGTACATGCTGCCTTTAGGGGTCTGCCTTCTTTCACTTAGCAAAAATGCTTTCTTCTGTATTATATGTATATATACATATACGGTTTTTTTGTTTGTTTGTTTGAGACAGGGTTTCACTATATAGTTCAAGCTGGCCTTGATGAATCCAGGCTGGCCTCGAACTCTAGGCAATCCTCTTGCCTCAGCCTTGAGAGTGCTGAGATTACAGGTGTGCGCCACCATGCCTGGCTTTAAATTACATTTTTAAAAACTAAAAAGAATTCTACTTAAAAACAATTTGAACAAACAAAACAACAGACAGTAAACCTTCAATTAAGAGTTGCTCTCTGCTGTGCATGGTGGCGCACCCCTGTAATCCCAGCACTACGGAGGCTGAGGCAGGAGGATTGTTGCAAATTCGAGGCCAGCCTAGGCTACAAAATGAGCTCAAGCCAGCTGAACTGCATAGCAGGACTTTGTTTATAAAAAAAAAAAAAACTTTCTTTTCCAGGATTTCCACTTCTTGAGTGAACCTCACAGCCTTTGCAAAATCCAGTAAAAATCCAACTCATCACTAACAATAGAGAATAGCTTTCAAAAAAATTTTTTTTTCCTCTCTCTATGTTGAAAAAGAAGGAATAAGGCAATGAGCTGCAGGCCTGGCTGGAATCCCTTGTGCTACATGTCCCCTCCATTTGTCCCCTGCCATGCCCTGAGATAATGCACAGGTTATCAGACACACGTACTATAGCTCCACTATGTTGTTATAGCACCCAGTGCTAAGCTATGGGGATCACATTCAAAGAAATTCCCAATCGGTGAACACACAAAACCTCCCAGACACTTTGATCTTAATTCTGTTGCCTTTTAACAACCTATTGGCCTGAGGGGTCAGTGGGAAATACAGGAGCATGTTACGCATTTCCGCAGAACACTGGTGTGTCTGGTCTCTCAGCTCCAGTAACAAAAGTCTAACATCACAGCCACTGGCATCCCACGAAGAAGGGAATGGTGTTAATTTACCTTCCTGGCCACCAACTTGGATTCTATCTAATTATTTCACCTCTTCGGCTAAAATATAAATTATACAAGGATAGCCACGTCCCCATTTATCTTCCTATTACTTTCTACTATGTACAAAATGTTGGCCAAGGGCTGGGCTGGCATAAGCGCCTGCCTGGCAAGCACAAGGGCCTGAGTTCAATTCCTGGTACAAAAAAAAAAAAATGCTGGACAAACAAATGAATGAGAAGATAACAAATGCATGGCATGAAAACACGTGAGCTTCCATCCTCCCTGCATCCTACAGAGCCAGGCCACGGCAGGGGCCTCTCTCGTGGACATCTCCTAGGACTGCAGCAGCGCTTGGCCTGCCTACAGGACGCGGGTCCTGAGAAGACAGGATGTATACCCGAAAGCAACAGGAGAACCATTCATCACAAACTGGCACTGAGTGAAGGATGGGGTGGGGGAAAACAAACAAACCGAAGCCTATAGATAATTTTAAGTCTCATCAGCCAAGTGAGATGGCTCACACCTGTACTTGGGAGGCTGCGGCAGGAGGATCGTTGTGAGTTCCAGGCCAGCATGGGCCACATGGTGTGTTCAAGGGCAGCCTGAACTGCACAGCGAGAACCTGTCTTAAAAAAAAAAAAATCTCACGTCATCAGGCCTGCCACTTTCCCTATCCCTAAAAATTCCTACCTGATGTTGGAAAGCAGCTAAACACTGTTACTTCTAGTCCACTGCCTGCTCCTGCTCTGGCTTAGGTAGAAATAGTGAAGAAAAAAAAAATCACCAAAAGAATGAAGTCAAAAATCCCCCCAAGATGATATTATAATCCACACCTGAGTCATTATCAGCAGGTATCCTGATAAACACTCCCAGAAACTACCATGGAACGCCCTCTCATCGTGCATTGAACAGCCTTAAAGGAAATCTTCGGCACTGGGGAGCAAGCTGCTTTTAGGGAAAACAGCATCTTTCAGGATTGAAAAGTCTATTTAGACTTTTCTTCCTGTACTCCAATAATAAAACTAAAAAGACATTAGAAACACCCACAATTGAGGAACCTGGCTGGCATATCTGTCATATGAATTATCAATATTTCTTGTGGTTCAAAGGAACCTACCACTGGGCCACAGGAAGCATAGGAACTCTCCCCACCTCTTTCCAGAAATGCTTTCTGTGGGAAAGAAGGAGGCGGGGCGAGGGAAGGAGAAACACAAAAGGGGACAGAAATGGAAAACAAGTCATTCTTTGCAGAACGGTCTACACACACACACAATTTCATTAAAGCTCATTTAAATATCAAACTAAGAATGTGAGAACTTGTAACTGGTACCTGGAGTTCTGCGTAATTCACATTATATTATAGAACAGAAACTTCATTCCAAATAGAATTATTACCTCAAAGCAGAAAACAGTAATATAACTATTTCCTGCCAAGAAACCTGATCCTGTATGTCTGAAACAGAATAAACAACTGTTACCCTGAAATAACTGTGCAAGTCCAAATACAAATCCTCAGGGTAAAGGCACAACTGCAGTCACCTTGTAAAGTTATCTCCTCAGTTTGGAGGGAATTTGGAGGAAAGCTCAGCTAAGCAAAAAAGCACAGTTTATTTCATTTATCTTATTTTCAAAGGGTATGGCTAAGAAATGATTTTAATTCACCTTGTACGTATGTCAAACCTCATACCACACAGATACCTGATATCCTACTATTGATTTAATGATAAATATATTACTGTTTATGGGCATCTTTGTATATTTTTAAAGTATCAGCTTTAACTGAAAAAGCCATTTACCCTAACACAGCCAGAATCCTCTGCACAGAAAGACCTTTGTACTCATTTCTCTGAAGTTGCAGAAGCTATACAGCTATCTTGCTTCACATGAATCGTAAGGGGCTGAAGAGTCAGAAAATAAACCAAGGCTTCTCTCCTCAAAGTGTAGCCAGAAAGTGAGACGTGCAAACACGGGCTATATTAGTTTAGCAGCACAGAGGAATGAATTCTGCTCTTCTACAGCCAAGCCACGAAAGCAGAGAGAAAACCCTGGGCTCCGCGACTCACCTGACAGCGCAGCACTGAGCTGACCACAGGACACACGGCAGCGTCCTGCTGACTGAGTGGACAAATGAATACAGGGCCGTTTCACAGAGCACTTGAATAAGGTCCATTCACAAACACTTACTGTCTCATCTCCCTTCAAGTTTCTTTTCTTCATACTCCGTGACAGACCAAAGATGGCTGCCGACTGTTTGCCGTTGCTTCCATGAAACACGCCCTCTACTGTCGTAGTCTGACTACTCTGACCAGGAAAACATGGCAGAAGCGACTCCATGGTTTCAGACCAGGCCCTAGAGACTGGTAGCTTCGTGTCTCCTTCAGGGTTCTCTCTTGGAGTGCCAAGCTGCTATGTGGTAAGTTCCACTTCTCTGAGAGTGCCACGCCACATGTAAATGTCCAGGCCTTCATCTTAGCTAAGCCCAGTCTTCCCGCAATTCTCACTACAGTGCCACATACTTAGTGAACGCCATCTTGGACCCTCAATACCAGCCCATCCACTCATTCACTACCACTAAGTGACTTCGGTCAGTGTCACAAAAAGCAGAAGAAGCCAATTGGACTCTTTCTAAATTCCTGAGCCACAAAACTGCATGACATTCTAATGGCTGTTTCCAGCCACTGAGTTTTGGGATAATTTACTACATGATAATAGGTAATTGGGGCTTTTTCTTTCTCCTTCCTCCTTTCTCTCTTTTTAAACACTAGCAGCAAAAGCCCAAGGTAGCCATGCTACTCTAACGAAGCCCTTGAACTCTTAAGGACTTTGGCTCTGAAAACAGTGCAGCAGAACACAGGGAGAAGAAGCCAGACTCCAGTCATGAGGCTTGGCGGAGGGCTTTGGGCCTCTTGTCAGTGCTGCTGGAGGAAGGTTTGCCCTGGAGGCCAGCAGCTACCGCGGCTGCAGAGCCCCCACCATGCCAAGGAAGGCCATACCTGCCGCATGAGCTCCTCTTGGCGCATTCTGATCCTCTCTCTCTCCATCTGGATCCTCTGGAGCCGCAGTTTCTGCTGCTGCTGCTGCTGAGTGGTGAGTGCGTTGGGCAGACTCATGAGTCCTGCTGAAGGGTTCTGAGCAGGGTGGTTCAGGGTGGTGGGTGCCATCTGCGGCTGGTGTTGGTGACTGATCACTGCAGGAGGCAAGAACACCCAGGTGATGAATGACCAGGATCTATGATGCCTTATCAAAAAGATACCATCAGGGATGGGGATGTAGCTCAGCAGCACAGCACCTGCCTGGCAAGTGTGAGGCCCTGAGTTCGATTCCCAGTACCAAAAACCAAACAAACAATACAAAAAAACACTATCAGAATGCTTCATACTTTGGAGTACAGATTCCTGAGATTCCTTCCAAAGTACTTTCTGTTAATCATCACTGTTCAAATAATTGTTACCTTAATTTGAACTGCGGAAGCACAGATACCAGTCCCCCTCTTGACTCATCTTAGTCTTGGCTTCTGTGCTGTTAGAAGTCCTGTGACACCTTTCTGTTCATGTTGTGCTGGGGATCAAACCGAGGGCCTTACACAGCCATGGAGGTGTTCTACCACAGAGCTACAGCTCCAGTGGCCTAGAGTACACTTCAAACCTTACACAGAACACAGTGTAAAAAATAACCAAACTCCACAAGGGTTATTACAACCTGTGGGAGAGTTTCACCTGGACATCTCGAGGAAGGATAGCTGGGTGTGGCACATGCCTGCAATGCCAGGAATTCAGAGGCTGAGGCAATAAGATTGTTTTGAGTTTGAGGGCAACCTGCGCTACATAGTGAGTTCAAGGCCAGTCTAAAACTAGAGTGAGACCCTGTCTCAAAAACACAAAACCAATCAACCAAACAAAAACCCTGGGGAGAGCTCTTCCCAAAGTATACCCTTGCTGGTCTTCAGAAAATCAGCCCTACAAGAGACACTCACAAGAAGTTACAATGGAGCCGATGGTGTCTTCCACTGAATTAAGATTTGACCAGTTAGACTAAACATCTCTGGTCATTAATTGTAGAGTCTGGAAGAGTGGAATTTAACAACAGCTTTGTTTTCAAAGTAAAGCACACATCGGGGCTGGGGATTTAGCTCAGCAGCAAAGCGCCTGCCTGGCAAGTGCAAGGGCGTGAGTTTGATTCCTGGTACCAGAAAAAAAAAAAAAAGTAAAGCACACATCAACAGAGCACATTCACCACAGGAGAGGGGGCTATTCACCACAGTATTTTTTTAATAATAGCAAAGGACTAAAAATAATCTTTCCCACCAAAGGGGCACTATGGTGCATCCACTCAGAGACATTCCACAAAGTAATTCTGAAGAACAAAGATGCTCTGTAGGTATTGCTAGGGAACCCTGACCTAAGAGCAAAACTCCGAGGAACAAACTGCAGCATGCTACTGTTTGTGATTCGAAAAGAAGAGGCATATTATATATTCATCCGCTGTCTCTGAAGGATCCACTAGACACAGTTAACCGTGGTAGCTCTGCAGAGGGAAGTCTCAGCATTGAGAAAGGGCCTTCCTTCTCCTGTCCTGCACTATTTAAAGTTTTCCTACGTACACCCCTGCCCCCAGTACTGGGGACTGAACCCAGGGTCTAGGCACAGTGCTACATTCCCAGCTCTTTTTTTATTTTTTATTTTGAGGACTCACTAAATTGCCCAGGCTGGGCTTGAACTGGGACCCTCCTATCTCCACCTCCTAGCCGATGTTCCAGCTTTCACTCTGATGCACCCTTGCGTCAGTGAAGACATCGCCCATTTCCGTTATTCCTCTCTGTGGAGACTGACAAAGGCAAAGACTTGACGAGGTCTTCTCAGACCTGACAACTGCTTATGTGAGGGCAGCTGGGATCGCAGGCATGTACCACCACGCCTGGCTGTGCATGCACTTATTATTTATGTAAAACCAAATGAAAATACAAGTAAAAAATAATCCCATAAAACAAAACCAAAACATGGCCCTGTTGGCATCAAACTTGATATTTTCTTGTTGTAATGAAACAGGGTAACTCTCCAATTACTCAAAAAGCAGTAAGTGAGGCTCAGAATATGATCAAGATCATCACAGTTTAGATTCTGCTTGGTACAAGGCTCTGTGTGGAGATGAGGAAACCAAAACCCAGACAAGGAAGAACTTGATCAAGGTCATAAGCTGATCAGTGCCTTAGAAGCCAGATGCCCTGACTCCATCAGGTGCCCACAATTTAACTCGTGCTCTGCTCCGTCTAGTTGTTGAATTTCCAGCTGGTACTGAGCCCTGAGAGTGGATCTCATGAACTTCATGTCTTCAAAACCACTGAGAGACAGTGGGGTTGGGCCAGGAAACCCAGTGCAGAAACAAGGACCCCAGGGAAGCATGAGAAGACAAACTATCTACGTTTGTGAGGAAGAAAATATTCTTTGGGATAATATTCCAGAACACTGCAGGGAGAAAACAGTATTTCCGCTAAGAAAAGAAGAAGAAGCCAGGCCTGGTGGCACATGCCTGTAATCCTAGCACTCAGGAGGCTGAGACAGGAGGATCATTACATGTTCAAGACTAGCCTGGGCTACAATGTGGGCTCAAGGCCAGCCCAAACTGCATAGTGAGACCCTGTCTGAAAAGACAAAAAGATTAAAAAAGGGAAGAAGAAGGAGAAGGAGGAGGAGAAGGCGGAGAAGGAGGAGGAGAAGAAGGAGAACGGGGAGGAGGAGAAGGAGGAGAAGGAGAAGAAGGAGAAGAAGGAGAAGGGGAAGGAGAAGGAGGAGAAAAAGGAAAAGAAGGAAAAGAAGGAGAAGGAGAAGAGGAGGAGGAGGAGGAGGAGGAACAGGAACAGGAAGAGGAAGAGGAAGAAGAAGAAGAGGAAAAAAATATTCTCACAGAATCTAAAAGCAGTTATCTAAGGCCAAACTGGATAATGGACAGACTGCCACAAACTGCCTCACTGGCAGCTGTCAGATCTGAGAAGACCTCATCAGTACCAGGCCTATGCCAGTCCCCACAGAGAGAAACAACCTAAACAGAAGACACCTCCATTGAGGCAAGACCAAAACTAAAGCTGGACCATCCTCCCCTCCACATGTCCAAAAAGTCAGAATTTAAATTTAGACTTCATTTATCTTTTGCCTCCCCCTTTTTAAAAATTACTTTTCTCTTCTGTGTTTGGAAATTGATAAAACCATACTCTTGATTGGCAATATTTGATATAAAAGAAAACAAGAAAAGCAAGCTCCACAGCGTCTGAGATACAAAAACCCTTGTGATCCACAACTGTCCTTGGCAAGGCAAGCAGTCCAAGTGAGAACAGGGTGGGCGGGGGTTCATTCACCATGGGCCCGATCCTCTGGTCTATGGCCTAAACAACGTACACAGAGGGTCCCCTGACTCACTCCAGCAAACACACCCTGTCACTTCCACAAAGCCCTGAGAGTGAACCATGTTCAAGGCAGGAAGCATCCTGGATTCAGTTCTAAGCCAATGCATCACTGCTCTATAAGAAGCAAACGTAAAAATAGGTAGACTTTACTTGTGAACTTCTGCCTTCTGCACCAGGCCACAGAGAGGGACAGCCCACAGAGAAAGCGCTCTGGCAGCTTCCCCCACCCAGGAGCTGCAGACACAGAGGGAGGCCAGGGAGTCGGCACGCCTCCTGGAATGTTTGACAAACATCTTCTTGGCCTCAGAGAGGTTCAGTGGCTTGCTCTTCTGTATCTTAGGCTCACTTCCCTCATTTTTAAAATAGGTTTTGGTTACACACACCCACACACACACACTCTCACATGTGTGTGCACGCCAAGGGAGGAAAACGAGACCATAAGGTTTAGGCTCAACTGCAAAACCATCACAGGCCTGCACAGGGCTGGCTCTGAGAAGACCACGGAAACGACAACCAGCGCTCGGAGGGCCAGAAGTCCCACCTCCACCCTCAAAAGTCACAGAAAGCCCTTAACTCCTGTCAAGTCTTCCTTCCTTGCACTTGAGTCTAGGAGAGCAAAGAGGAACACCTTGCCACTCTGCTATGTGTTCCCTGTCACTCTCAGCTTCTCCCCTTCTTACAACAACTTCTTGCTGAGGTGTCCCTACTGGCATTCTGAAGGGAGCTTGTGGTTCTGCCAACGTGTTGGAGGCACAATTCCATTTAACTGATCGGGTATGTCCTCTGAGACTCCCTCCTCTGGGTAGCTTCTTCCTTTCTGCTCTATCGGTAATGGAGAGGTTACACACGGCTCCCCGTGGTTCAGTAATTTAATAAAAATATATCCACAAGCATCCAAATCATTAAAACAAATGACTGAATGAATAAATAAACAAATGAGGGGAGAAGAGCCAAATCCCTGGTACAGAAGAATTCCAACCAGTTTATGAAGAAGGCCCCCCTTGCTTGTCCCAGTTCACCTGGGTCCCCAGGACAAAAGCACAGTGCTAACTCCACGAATGTCCCCAGCAAGGGGGATGGTTTGTCACCTACGCCTTTGACTGACCCCAGCCCTAAGGCCAGGTCACAGCAGCACAATCCAAATTTCTCCTCACACCTAATGTGTTCTCTTAAAAACAGAAGGAGGTGATGCTATAAAACAGCCATTTAATATTTAGAACTAAGATCAGGGGACCCAGAGTACTGCACAGTATGTCCTCCCTCATAACGTGCCCCGTTTTGTACGCATGTTACCGTCAGGTAGTTAGAGCAGGAAAATTTCACATCCACTTCCCTGTAAGTTTTCAAGGCAATCAAGGACTACTCAGGACACTGTTTAATCACCTGCAAATGCACATTTGGTTGTGTGAAGGTCCGGGAAGTCTGTGCTGTTAAACCCTGATGGAGCCGTCCGTCTCAGGTGAAGCTCTCCTAGTAAATGCTGAGCTCTTCTCTCTGCAACTCAAACTACCTCTTCATTCTTCCTGAGGGCTAGCATTACGCTGCTTCTCAACAAGGCCTAGGAAGGGGACAAGTGTTTTCTCAGCCCCTCAGAACCAACACCGTGATGCGCATGTCCCTTTCTTCTGAGAACAGAAAAAGAACTTTAGCAAGTTTCAAATCTGACTGGCTGGAGCACAGTGGGCTGGAAACACATTCCCCCATGCGCTGTAGGGTTCTGGGCCAGGAATTGGTAACAAAACATCAGTTTCATTTAAAAATGATAACTATAGACACTTGTTCTAGTGAAC